GTTGCAGCGAACGTAAGAGATGGTAATCTGATGGTGCCATATCTGGAGGATATGATGGGTGGAGGAGAACTTCCCAACTCCATAATTTTCTGTTGCGTCAAACGTGCCACATGTGGACGTGCATTGTTGTGGAGAAGAACACCTTTCCAATTGACAAGTGAAGGGCATTTCTGATGAAGGGCTTGGTTTAAACGTTCTGGTTGCTGACTATAGATCTCTGCATTGACAGTTCACTTTGGATTGAGGAGTTCGAAATGAATTACTCCTTTGATTTCCCACCAAATGCAAAGCATCACTTTCTGCGGATGGAGTCTAGGATTTGGGGTTGGAAGTGTTTTTTGTCTAGGACTGAGCCATTGTTTTTGGCGTTTAATATTCGCATAGTGAAACCATTTTTCATCACTGGTGACAATTCTGTCCAAAAATGGTTCATGCGCCAGAAGAAACGAAGCAATGTTGACACGTTGGAAACGATGATCATCGGAGATTTCGTGAGGCACCCAAACACCTTCTTTAAGGAATTTTCCCATATTCCTTATATGTTTACGTATTGTTTCATGAGAGACATGCAATTTCAGGGCCATTTCACGAGTCTGTTACTTTGGGTTAGACTCAACAAGCGTCTTCAGAGCATCAACATCAATTCCAACATTTCGGCCCCTGCCATCACAGTTTTTAAGGCTAAAGTTACCTGTACGAAATTTTCTGAACCATCGTTGACACTCACGAACATTCCAAACATTTCCATAAACTTTTTTGATATTCTTTGTGGCCACAGAGGCATTGTTTCTCTTCTTGTATTCAAACAGCATTACATGCCGAATGTGTGTCTCATTGTGTGCAATCACTATAAAGGATTGGAGTATACTAAACTTTACACATTATATAGGCTACACTAATGTGGCATTTAGATGGTTTGTTTAACTATTATATGTGATCTACATTTTTTTGGGGGTGGTTAATGAATATGTTCCAAAATGCGAAATTAATTTTTTGATGACCTAATATTTTACCAATAATCATTTAACCCTCTCTCCACAAGCATCTTTTTATGCATATGTCACAAGGCTTTAGTGAGTTAAATTCAAAATTTAATTAAAATACTTTCTTTTTTATGATATATCAATAAATATAACATAGAAATGTAGCTAATAATCCATATTTTAATAGTATTCAAGTTTTAATTTCTTACTTTTATAAGGTAATATTAAAAAATACTAGAATTTCCCATTGTGTGAGAGTGTGACATTTGCTCTCTTGGCATCCCCACTTCTCTAATTTATTTACCACTCCTCCAAGAAGTTTAATATAAATTACTCGTTATAGTATTATCATCGTTCAAGCAAAGCATAATTTAAAAGCTTCCAATCTTATTTGGTTACATAGTGATGAAACAGACAATCAGACTCCTCTTGCTACACCCACCTTTCACATATACTCTTTCAAAAATTGCCAATAGTTCTCTCTAATGTTCAATACTATATTATTAATAACCAACAGAAAGCCAAGGTTTTCATCTTTCAAATGACATATTATATTACATTGTTTTCTGTAAAGAGAACTGTCAATTTCGCTTTCAGTTCAAAGTTGATTCCCTGGAAACACATCAGTGAGCTTAGAGGAAGTTTTAATGGCTCTTGTTACATAGTTAGAAAGCCAGAAAAATTGTGATAGTTATGGGACATTATCTGCTTTTTGCACATTATTATTCTGTGTTAGTTGATGCATTACTTAATTAAATAAAAAATTATTTACTAAAGTGCTACCATTAGTATAAAAAAGTAGGGTTAAATGTTATCTACTGTCAACAGCAAAAAAAAAAAAGGCCCAGGTAAGTACTTTTTTTCTTGTTTTTCATATGTATTCTTTATCTATTATTATAAAAATAACTAAAATGTAAAAAGTGCAAAGTTGAGGTTATTTTAAATTTACAATCAGTAAGTCATAGGCCATTTAAAAGTTTTTGTATTTGTACAATGTAATTTATTTCATAATAATTTGTATTAATACTAAGGGTTTTTGTTCTGTATCCTTTAGTATCTGAAAATGAAAGGACCCTACAGAACCATATGAAAGATCCTGTAGGCAATTATTGATTCCTTTTCGTGGGAACACACATACATAGAATATGCTTGTGTCTCGTGGAGTTATCAGATGATGCCTTTTTTGGTTGGAGACCTATCTGCACACTGTTGTGGTGGTTAGACCTTAACAAGATCAAACAGGAGGAGCAGTAGAAATTGCTGTGTGCTCATGACTAGTAACTTAACTGCCTGAGTTCAAGAGTCTTCTTGCAAGACTTGTATAATCATGCCTTGTTACATTCTTTTCAATTGCCTACCCTCTGGTGGACCACTGTGCATGAATTGAATGTGTAATTTGTGTAGAGCTTCATGAAAGTGAATACAGTTAATCGCACACAACTGACCATTGGACAGTTTCCTGACTTTGTACATAGTGTATGTGTTGTGTCATTTATGTGTGTATATCCTGTTGGAACTATGACTGTTGAGAGCTCAAACAATGTCCCAAGGTTTCTCCCAGCCACCTGTCATTACACAGGTCACATTTTTAGTAAATGTAATCTGTAATCTTTGGGAATATTACAATGTAGCTATCAAACTCAGTTTACTTGAAGTCATAGTTATTAAACAATAATTCCCAGTTATTATTAAGAAAAAAAAAAAAACATCTTGAAAACACACACACTAAGTGCTGATTATATGTGACTGAACATTAAATTTTGTAATTGGCAGACATTTGGACATGTTAAACCTGACGTTGACGTATACAGAGTTAAGTAATATGTTATATGTTTGCTAATAGTTTATGTAGAAAAGTTACAAATGTATCGTGAGAAGTATTAGTGGAATCTAAAAGTGAATCCTGAATTAAAGCTGTGTAGTAAGAATATTCTAAGGTATGTTTTGTTTAAGAAGTAGTCTTGTTTTTATTGTCAGCCTTTTTTAAACAACTGAAACTTATACTTTTAAAACATGAGTTTAAAAAGAAAAACCATAAATGTGTATTTTTTGCTGTTCTTTTAACAGGAACAAAATAGACTTGAGTCTTTCATATTTGGAAATCAGCTTCACATACTTTGCACAAGGTGCAGTGTTTCACCTTTTAATTGTCTATTCAGCATTCTTGACTTATAAAGTTAGAAGCTTGAAATTGTGTCAATGTCCAGATGTTTTTACATGCTACTAAAAGTGGCCATTAAAGTTTGTACCTTAAATTTTATGAATTGGATCACTAGCTAAAAGATGATTTTTATTTTAATATTTTGATACCAAATATACTTCGAAAGAATGCCGAATTTTGAAACTAATTTTTAGAACATCTGGTAGCTTAAAATGGTGAATTATGAAAATATAAAGCTCTTTCAACTTTAGATTTTGCACTTTTAAAACTTCCTGTTTCTTTTCCTGTATATAATTGTACTGTTGTGTGATTTGTGTTTCAAAATTTTATAGTAAGTTACTATCTAAAAATGTTTGCTTATCCAAGTACTTCATCTTTTGCTTCAACTATTGACTTTTCAGGGCAAAATCTAGACTTCATGTTAAACTTCCTATTTAGCTAATCTACCTAATATGGGCAGTTAGAAGTGACATCATGCATACTGTCATTGAATTAACAACAGGATCGTAAAGTATAATTGTATTTTCTTGACATTAATCAAGATTAGAGTCAAATGCTGCATGTTAGCTATGTTAATCAAGGTTTGTAAAATGATGGCACGAAGTATTTATTATTTTTATCTTATGTTTTATAACTTTATACAGCTCAGACTAATAAATCATAATTTTCTGAGAAGAAGTACAAGGATCTGAATCTCTATAGATTGATGGTTAAATAGATCTTTGAGTAATATCGTTAATAATTCATACATGCTCAATAGGTTTTGTCGACCTTAAGTGATGGACAATCAGCATTAAAGTTGTTATTTCCAACTGCTGACCTTAATTCAGAAGGGTGAGATAACAAGCAAGGTTATTTAATTTAGGTGCTCTTCTGGAAAATAGAAGCATTCTGGGTCTAGATTTTGCCCTGCACAATAGCAACATAATTCAAAATTTGATTGCTAAAAGGAAATATAAGTTGTTTAAAATTTAAATTTCAAAATGTATCATTATATGTCAGAAAAGTTGAAAATAAGAAATGTTTATGAATAGGCTATGGTATAATGTAAGCTGTTTTTAGAAGGATATATAGAAGATAAAATCTTCAAAAAGAGCACTTGTTTAAAATATGATCAGGTTCGAAAAGACTTCCAGTAATGGACAGTTTCTTTTTCTGACACACACACACACACACACTACTTGACTGGTTAACCATAAAATTTGTAAAACTCTTAAAGTTGCTTTTCATGAAAAAAAGTAATCACAGATTTGGAATAAATATTGAAAAATGAAAGGTATTTAGATGGAATCTTGGTTGTAGTAAATGTTGTAGAATTGGCCTCTTTGTGGCCTTCTGTATCAGATAATGGAAATGTTGTGTATCACGTCCACACCATCAAGATTAAAACTGTTCAATGTGTTCTCGTGCGTATGTGAGGTAATATTAATGTGACTGTTGAAGGTGTTTTTCACAGATTTCTGTTTTCTTATGTATGCTACTGATTATATTACCAAGATTCAGAGTTCTATGTATTAAGCAAGATATATACACACAACCAAATATTGGCACTTGTCTCTATGTGAATTTTTGAACTTCAATTCTGTATTGTCTCCTTTCCATCCCTCTCTGTTCCACGGTGCTCCACTGATGCAATCTACTGAGATTGCAACTTTATCTTTATGCTCTCAATAAATTTGAAGAGAAAGTTTGTGTTGCTCAGTTATTTGTTTGATTTTGATTTTTTTGAAGACAAAAATAACATTAAAAGTATATATTTAAGTCTGGATACAAACATAATTCAAAATTGGTTGTCATTCTTGAACACTCAGTAGCTAAGTGCAAGAACGTTGGTTTTAGGTTTTGAGTTCTTTACGGCAGTTAGATAATCATGTCTGTATGTGTTCAAATAAATTGCATTAATAATCTCTCAAGATTTTATTGTACACTGAAAAAGTAATTCAAAAAAGTGCAAACTTTTATTAAAATACAAAAGGCAAGACCTGAATTAATAGTTATCTCTCAAAAGTGCATATCTAAGAGTGAATCCATCCAGCTAAGCTGGTTATAAGAAAAAGTCAGAAGTTGTTTGTAATTCTTTTGCAAGAACTTCCATGACTTATATTTTTATTATTTAACTACTCATGAAATTCTATACTTTCAGGTTAGTTGTACTTGGGTTGTGTATGTATAATATAAATAGTAATATTTTTTAAATTTTACTTATAAGTTATTAACCTTTTATTTTATCTGATCCACTGATATTGCTTGTAAAGGCATGTATTGGTTAAAAATTGCACCATGGCTTTAAGATCAATGTTACCAACAACAAATGTTTATGTTACATGCATATTAGCCTGTGATTTTTAACCTAATCCTCTGTGTTGACCATGATTTGTTTTCCAAGGTGAATCTGTGAACCTTTCATTACATGTTAATATTCAATCTTCTACTTTTATTATCCACAATTTGTCTTTTTACAGCTTTGTCTGTTT